GTTTTGGTATGTTTTTTCTAATGGTTGTTAAGGAAACCTGTAAGTGTTGCTAAATTCAGAGGAAGGACAAACACTTCTGAATTTCTCTGTACACACATATGTATTTATTCATGTGTGTATCTATTTATCTGACTAATGGAGGATTATGAAGAAAGCTAGATTTAGGAGTGTCTTTTTGAGGGGAATAACTGGTAAAAGGAAAGTATACAGCTTTCTTTATCTCTTACTGATTATAGGATGGAAATGCATGATAATGCATAAAAAGCATATTTTTTTTTACTCTTTGTAACATGACTGTACTAGAAATTGTGGAATTATCACATAGTTGTATGTGTTATTCACCTATTATGGAAATTTAAGATTCAGCAATAGAGTATGACCATGAAGGTTAATCTGGCCTTTTAAATTTCTCAGAGCTTTAGAGTTTAAGAAGAAAAAAAAAGCAACGTTGAACCTTGTAGGTTCAAGGGAATGCAAATGTGTGAACAATATTTCTAAAGCTCCTACAGTTTGCACTATAAGGGGAAGTTGTTCACACATCTGCATTCCCTTATCTTGCCCATCTTTGTTCTGTCATTCTAACTGTGAAACTGCTTTTCAGGAAGACTGGCTTCACTAGGTCAAGTTTGCTGTCTTTCATCCCAGATGCTTTCTGCCACTGGTTAGTTCTTTGTGGAGGTGAATAAAAATTGCTCATTCAATTTTATCATCCTTTTTTTTTCCTATATGACTAATGGGAGGAGAAATCTGGGGGGGAAACAGCTACAGGGCTTGAGAGCCATGAGGACTTAAACAGCTAAAGATGGACTTGCTACTCAAGGCTTCTTGATTTTTATTTTTAGCTTTGAGTGTTTTGCTTGGGATTTGCTTCCTGGTGCTGTTCCGTGACTGGTAGTAACACACATCCAGTCTTTGGGGGAAATCATTAAGGTGATTGTGCAAACACTGCTTTGAAGGGATAAAAATGCTTCCTGAGTACTCAAATTATTTTTGGAGCAGTCTTCTAAATGAGCCTGTGATGGTTTGGGTGGCTCCTTGAAGTGGTGTTCTGAGAATATTTCAGCTGTGTTCCCTGGTGTTCCCTGGTGTTGTGCTATACCATTATCATGTAACTGTTGGCTTCCCTGTGCAATCTTCTTTGTGGTGAACACACACAACCAACTAGAAACAAACCAGTTCATTGAAGGAAAGGTGTTAGGGAATTCCTTTCTTTAGCTTTCATTAAGGAATGCTGACAGACTTGACACTGTGTGCAACTTGGACTATTTGATCAGCTTAATATAGAACTTCCTCTAAAAAATATATTGTCTCCAGTTTTCTAAATGGACTATTTCAAAGATGATTCTTGAGAATTCTCAGTAGTTGCTGCCTTTCCAGTATTTACTTTTACATTGTGAACTGTGAAGGAAAGTTGTTCAGTGCACTTGGGCAGCTGCAGGAACAAGACACACTCCACAAAAATCTAAGCTGTACCACCATACTTGCCCTTCCTAGAAGATGATCCTGTTATCAGAATCTGAGCCAAAAGCTTGAGACGTGGAAGCAGAGGACAAGCTAATCACTGAAAAATGCTTTATATATATGTAGAGTTGGTATTTTTTTTTGAGATAGATCATGCCAGTGTTGCTGTCCCTGTGAATTTAGCCTTGGAAAAAAGCTGTCTGGTTGAACATGAGAAGGGAGGTCCCTTTCCAGCCTCCAAAGTGAAAGTTTGAGCTCTGGAGCTCAAGAAGATTCCTTGTGACTGGGTGGTAAAGGAACATCTTTTTTCCTCTGGCAGAGGATGCTTTAAACAAGACCCAAACTGTTCTAACATAAAATACAAATGAATGATTTGCCTCTTGACTAAGCTAAAAATCTTCAACATTTTTTGGATGAACTCAAGGGAAAAGGTCTTGACCTGCTGCATGCAGGGGGAGGGAAGAAGAATGAGTGTCTGCAGCAGAAGGAAACAAAGCAGTCGGTTTTGCTTTACTAACATCATGTAGTGGCTGACTCATAGGCCTGACTTTTCTGGGCATAAAACTCAGTTACATACAATTCTGCTTGGCTGCGCTTTCTTGTGATGAAACTTGTAGATCCTAATTCTTTTTTTTTTTTTTTTTTTTTTTGAGTTACACTTAAATTTTTCTGGGAGTTCTTTTTAGTCTGTCATTTGAAACCTGCTACCAAAGACCTCTCTACCATTGTAATCATTGTAATCATCTGCAACTTCCTCACTGTGTTGTGTGTGTTAGGGGGTTGTGTTTGTTTTTAGTGGGTGATTTATGTCTTTTGTTTTGGGGTATTTTTATTAAAAAGTTGTCTGTGCTTGTAGGGTGAGTGGCACTTTGCTCTCCTTGGGTCGTAGTTGGTAAAAGCAATATTTCAAAGCTCTGCTTAAATGCTGACAAGGGATTGCTGATTGCCTTGTTGTGATTTTTTTGAATGCTGTCAGTTTAGTTACTGTCAACAGCAGAGCATTAATAACTTCTATAATCCTTCAGGTTGACAGATGTGCTCCAGAGCACTTACTCATGGGGAGGAGGGGGAAGGTGGGGTTGATTTGCAGGCTGTTAGGAGGGCAGTAACTTCCATATGTCATATTTATCCCAAAGAGCTTTACTTGTAACTTCAGGCCCAGAGGGGAGTTTGCTGGCTCATAGAATAGATTAATTTGCTGAGAGGAGCTGTTTTTGACCGTTCCTTTCTCAGTTTCTTGACATACAAAGCCCTGGTCTTGCCACAGTTTATGGCTCCAGGTATTGATTCCAGGCAAAAAAAAAACAATACAGAAGGTTGTGGAAGAGTTTAATTCTGGTCCTTTATGGTCTCCCAGCCTTTGGCATCTTTGAACTTACCCAAACAAGGTACTGCATCAAATGAAAGTATTTGTGGTTGATTGATGTGGGCTTTTTTGTCACGTGGGTGGGGGTTTGGTGGGGTAGGTGAGTGGTCAGTACTCAACCCATTCACAGGCTGCACGGCTCCTTTGCACTCCCAGCTGGAATTGTGCCCAGCATGAGTCATCATTTTGCTTTACCCAACCTGTGAGTTGAGGATTTCAGCCTTCAGTCTCCAGGCTTTCCTCCAATACTGCTTGTTGTGAAAGCTGGTGTTGGTTTTGTTCTGCTTTGGAGTGATATTCTGACAGAAATGACCAGAGTAAAGCAGTGGATGCCCTCGGTCTTGCTAAGTTTTTCTCCAGTTACCAGTTACTTTAGAAGAACATTACTGATTTCAAGGAGTGGTTTTTAGTTTGGAAGATGGAGATTTTTGTGGAAGGTTTTTAATTTTATGGAATTTACTCAAACTGAGTAATGTTAGGGATTGTATGAAGTGTAAATATTTGCAGGTCTTGTATGCTCTGTGGTAAAACACTGTTTCAGTTGTGTTAACTTTTCTCTTGAATGAGTACTGACTTTTAACTAAATCTTTACTGTCTCTAAAGAATTCAAAGAGATTCTGTGTACTTTTTGCTAGTTTTAAGCAGAACAGTTTCACCTTCCCTAACTGTAAGTTAGGTCTGCATGCTGAATCTTTCAGAAGAGAAACTTTCTGATTCTTGGTGCTATGGAAGTATTGACTTCATGGTTTTTTCTTTCTTTTTGAGTGTTATTCAGATGACCTTCACTTAAATTTTTGAGAACTTGGAGTTTTTTTTAATATTCAGATATTTAAAGTACAGTTAAAGCCAGCTCTTCAGCAAGGAGAGGTACGTAAGTAGAGTGAAACGTGTTACAGAGGATGAATTGTTTATAAGAGCCATATTCTGGCCAGAGAGTGTGGGGAGCTCCTTGGCTGCTTTACAGAAAAAGAAGTGAATTGATCTTCAAGCTATATTTCCAGTTTAATTTTGGTAACAAAGACTAGAAGCTGAACTTTGAGTGCAGCATTGTGACAGCTGTTGATTGGAATAAGCTTTGTTAGCGCGAAGGGGCGAGATGTTCTCGTGCAGGTTGGTGACCGGCTCTCCTGGATGGAAAATTACTCCTGTGACAGATGCCTGCATGAGGAATTCCTTCCTCTTTTTCCCCTTGCACTGCTGTGGTGCTGAGTGGGAATTGGGTGCTCTGCCTGTGTGGCTGCCCAGCCTCACAAACAGGGGCTGTGGAGCGCGGGGGGACAGGACCTTGCGCAAATCCTGCCTTCGGAGTTACCGACTGGGTTGGCGTGGAGGGAAAGGTTAAGTGGATAATGCTTTGGAGGGAGTAGGCACAAGGGTGTTCTTCAGTCAGGGATGTGCTGTGCCTTGCTGACAGAGATGGAAAAGCTTTGAGGAAGCCAGTCATTTAAAAAGTTGGCGGTACCTCAGTGCTTGGAGATCCTCACAATTAAAAGCATCTGTGATTCACACTGTTCACAGAGCCATTCCCACCCTGAGCAGCCAGCTCCTACTTGAGAATTCAATTAGAGTACCAATTTGGTTTGGGTTCTGAGAGGAAGAGTCAGTTTTCAGCCTATCTTATCTGAAAATCCAAAGCAGTTGAACTACAGAACACAGGTAAAATGACTGTCTGTACATTATCTTTATTTTTTTCCAGGCATCACAGTTACAGGTTGGCAAGAACAGATTGAATCATCCAGGCAGCAGAGTAGCAGATTTATGTAAGCCAGTGTCGGATGTAACCCTCTGCTATTCACTGTAGGACATGGCATGTTCTTAATCCTCCTTGTAAATGTCTACATTGGAATTCAGCAGACAGACATTTAAATCTTTTGTTTCTATCTAAAAGTTTTATTCAGACTCTTAAGACGTGTCCAGAAATTGTCTAATATAGTCTGGGTTTTTTCTCATTTGTAAAAACTGAAATGACTTTTGAATAATGCAATTTTAAGAAGCTGAACTGAAAAAAAATAAATAGTGAAAAACCTTGGGTTTATTTTGTGTATCTTGGGGTTTCAGCCTTAATCTCATCTCATTACAGCTTGGAGAAATAATTGCTCTGTTGATTTATTGTAGTAGTTCTTAACAATGTTCTAATTTTTTTTCTTTTTTACTTTTTCCTCCCCTTTGACAGACCTTAATTTATTTCGGAGGATTCCCATGGCACGTGAACTAGAAGATAACTCAGACTAGAAGGTCTCCTTACTTCGAAGTGACAGTCTTTAAACCAAAATGGTAGGAAAACTCAAACAGAACTTGCTGCTGGCGTGCCTGGTGATCAGCTCGGTGACGGTGTTCTACCTGGGCCAGCACGCCATGGAATGTCACCACCGCATCGAGGAGCGCGGCCAGCCCGGCAGGGTGGAGGGCGTGAGGAGCACGGTGAGAACTGCTCCCAGTGGGAATGCCACCAAAAGCTTTGCCTACAACAAGGACATGCCTTTGATATTTATCGGGGGAGTCCCTCGCAGCGGCACCACCCTGATGCGGGCCATGCTGGACGCCCACCCGGACGTTCGCTGCGGGGAGGAGACGAGGGTGATCCCGCGGATCCTGGCGGTGAAGCAGATGTGGGCGAGGTCCAGCAAGGAGAAGATCCGGCTGGACGAGGCCGGAGTCACGGATGAGGTGCTGGACTCGGCCATGCAGGCGTTCCTGTTGGAAATCATCGTCAAACACGGGGAGCCTGCGCCCTACTTGTGTAACAAAGATCCTTTCGCTTTAAAATCCTTAACTTATCTTGCTAGGATTTTCCCCAATGCCAAATTTCTTCTGATGGTGCGGGATGGCCGTGCATCAGTGCATTCCATGATATCTAGAAAAGTCACAATAGCTGGGTTTGACCTGAACAGCTACAGGGACTGCTTGACCAAGTGGAACCGTGCTATAGAAACCATGTACAACCAGTGCATGGAGGTTGGGTTTGAAAGGTGTATGCTGGTGCACTATGAGCAACTTGTGTTGCATCCTGAAAGGTGGATGAGAACTCTCCTGAAGTTTCTCCACATCCCATGGAACCAAGCAGTGCTGCACCACGAAGAGATGATTGGGAAAGCCGGGGGTGTTTCTCTTTCAAAGTGAGTATGAACGTTCCTCCTTTACCCTGGGTTGTTTTAAGGGTTGAAATAGTCCCAGTCATGACTTGGTTTCAGTTTTTACATAGCTGATGATGCCTCAGGAAGCTGATTTATGATGCACCTGGAAAATAAGAGTCACTGTAAACTAACAATTTGCAATCTGATTTGTTCCACTGAACAACTGTCCCATGAACATGCGTATGGAGCATATGAACTTGACTTTGGATGTTTAATATCAGCTTTGCTTTTCTCTCTGACCCAAAATAAACCTGAACTGCTTTATCTAGGCTGGTGTTATCCACCCCAGCAAGATCACCCATTTGATTTCAGGAGCAATGTTGTTGTCAATGCAAAAATGGCCTTTGAGTTATATTTGCCAAGAACAGACTCTTCCAGGAAACTCGAGAAGCTGTTCCAACAGAATAGAAAGCAGAGTTGGCCTGCTCTTCTGTTGGCAAGTGCTCCTAAAAGGACAAGCATTTTGATGAAAATTAACCTTGTTGTAAGCAAATCTCTCTCTATTCTGTTCAGCCATCTGTGCACCTGATTGAGCTGCTTTCAGAAAACAGTCCAGCTCTGCTTAGAAAACCTAGATGGTTATTGTGAAAAGCAAATCTATAATTCTCTAGTTAAACTACTCTAGTTTCTTTGCCACTGTTTGCAGTTGAACAACTGAAATACAGAAGCTGACTTGTCTTTACATTGAGAGGGAAAAGTGTAAATGTTTGACTCTCTTCCCTGTTTTTGCTGTGGCAGATGCATCTACCAGGTTGTCTTGTTTAAGTTTCTAAAATATTGATTAAAAAGCCCTATTCCAGCAGCAAATTAAATTACTTGGCTTCTGTTTTTTTGAATATTCCTCACTGGCCAAGTGCTTCTGAGTCAGAGGCACCTTGCACAGCAAGCAGGGTGTGCTGGGCAGAGACATGTCTGACTGTTCCAGAGTGGGTGTATTCTTTGTAAACTGCAGTTTTATGAAATACAAATTGTAAGATTTTCTTATTTTCTTTATTTCATACCTAGGAATGTGACTGTGGATTTTCTGATATATTGTAGGGGCATATGATTTAAATCATAGAATTGTTAGTCAGTGGTTACAACAAGAACTTAAAATTCAGGTAAGTTATATACTTACAGTCTGGAGGTTTTACATCACCAGCACTGTGTTCCCAGAGCTATCAGGAAGGGATCTCATCCCTTTTTTTTTTGGCAGTGTTGTTTGGTAGCAGAGTGGAGGCTCCTGGAAGTGTTAGCCCCAAGCACTGCACTGTTGTACCTCCCTGGAAGATGATCTGCTTGGGAATTCTCTGTATTTACCTGTCTTTTGTTGCTTCTTCACAGTGGCAGCTGAGGGGGGAATAATGTTACATTTACTGATGTAAATGGGTGGTTGCCAAGTTCTGTTAAGTGTCCTGTAGAAAATAACTATTCATAATGCCATCTCTAGTAAAATATTACTCCCTTGCAGCTTCCAGATTAGTGTTTTTAAAAATTAATGGACCTTTATACTATAAAACTCAATAACCTTGCTGAATTCATACAGTCTCAAGTAATATTTCTTGCTAAATGTGGTAGAATGTGATATGAGGAGTTGGCAATAGTTGTTCATGGTTCTAAAAATTACAAAAATGGGCTGTTCAAAGTAAAATGTGGCTTGATGTTTATTTTTTTCTTTAGTAAAACTTTCCAGCTTAAGACAAATGAGTACAGATGTGTTCTTGTGATCCTCAATTCAGTCTGTTCACAGAATTCTTTATGCTTTTATTATCTCTCATGAGATGATATATGACAGTAATTTCTTATTTCAGAAGGCTCTGGCAATAGTGGAAAAAAGAATGAGTTATGAGTGATATGTCTGTGGTGAGTTTTATCTAATCAAACAGCCTGGCAGAAGGTGGTGAGATTTGTTTTTCAGTTGCTGGAGACCTTTATGATTTGATAATGATTTCAGTGACTCAGTCTTTTGAGGGCTGCAGAAAAACCAGTGCCTGTGAAAGCCTTGAACTTAGATGCCTGTGTTGTGTAATTATATGATACTAGTTGAAATTGTGCAGGGGGAGCCTGAGCTTCCCCACTTTGATGTTCTTGTGCCAGTTAAAACCTGCTGGTTTTGGCATCCCCAGCCCCAAGGGGGGTCCTTGCCCAGGGCAGGGGGTAAGTGCCCAGGGGAATTACTCTTTGAAGAGGTGCTTGCTAAGTAGTTTACTGAGAACTTGAGAGTCTGCCACAGCTTATCACATTTTGACAGCTGGACAAAACACACCTTGTGTTGGTTTTCCTGCTCTCCAGTTGCCTTTGGCTTGTTCTCAGCTGCAGCCAAGTCCTTTAAGGCCTCAGGTGTGTGTGGCTCTTACTTTCTGGGTCAGATTCTGACCAACATTGTTCTCTTCTGACTCCTTTCAGCTGAAACAACAGAATCTGCAGCGGTGGAGCTCCATATTCCAATTAGTGGCTTTCTCCCACCTCACTTTCCAAAGGGACAGTGCTGGAGATCAGAGATAATTAAGGAAATTCAAAGTGCTGCTGTCTCCTGCAACTCTGTCTTCTCACAGAGCTTTATTTTACTGTGTGCCTCATACCAAGTGCTCCAGGCTGTTTAATAATAGCTTATTAAAATCAGAACACTCAAATCATATTGCAGTTTTTACTGACAGGAGGAGGAGGTCACAAATAGCAAATCCCCTCTGTTGAAATGGGATGTTCATTTAAAAGATGTCACTGTGTAGGCCTGGCCTCTGTCACGTAGTGGGGAACAACATGAGAATCTTGATAAAATTAGTTCCCTGCTTGTCAGCAAGGTATTAGGTAGGGTAGAAAACCTCAGAAATCAGAGGATGAACTACTATTATAATCTGCAAAGGGTGTCATACTGTGTAAAGGCTTAAGAAGACAAGCAGAGACACCTGCCTTAATCATCTTTCTGTCACCTTTGAGACTTGCAGGTCTTTCAGATGGGCTCAACATCCACTTCAGAGGCATGGTGTGGGTCCAGCACCAGATGCCTGGAGGTATTTTAATTGTTGGAGGTTTTTTTGAAATGAAATGTGTCAAGAGTTTGTTGTCTTGAAATATTTAAAACATTGCAAGAATGATATCCCACTAAAATACCTTTATGATGATGCTGTTACCTGCTAACAGAAAGGAAATGTTTGAGAATATATTTTTCACTCACTAGAAATCAAAATTAACGCTTTTCAAGTGAAATCTGTGTCAGATGGAATGAGGCTGTAGGCTACAAGATGTTTTCTATTCAGTTGTGTATAGAATTAAACTGTGCATGCAGGTTGTTTCTTTTCCAGAGATGAGCCAGCCCCTGGATTGCAGAATTCTTCCAGCAGTGAGCTGACTCCACTTTTCTCTTATTGCAAACTCAGAAACTCTTATGCATTATTCTGGTAATAGCACTAGGAGATAGCAAACAGCCTGGATTTAAGATTCTGACTTCATTTGTTCCCCTGGCTGCTTGATTTGAGGAAACTTTTGGCTGCCTCACTCTCCTCTTCTGCATGTGTTTAGTAGTCTCTGCTTTTTCTGTTGCTGATGCAGCCCTTCCCTCACTGTTGTTCTGTTGTACTTAGGATTTTTGCCCTTATTTTGATTTTTGTCCAGCTGCAAGGAAAAACACTGCAAGGGTTCTAGAGATGAGCACCACAGCATTTGCAGTAGTGTGAAACCTTCTGTGGTTTGAAGTAATTGCCAACGTGGCTGTTGAAGGAATGTATTATGGCTGGACTACAAGCTATAACTAGTATTGTTAATAGAGCTCTGGCATTTGCCTCCTAACTGAAAGCAGCTGTGCTGACCACTGATGCAGAGAAATGTCAACCCTTTTATAGCAATTTTTATTAGGCTTATAATGGAAATAGCTGTCTAGGCAAAATTACTTCACAATATACACTATATTTAATACATACCTTTCATTTGATTCTGGTGCAGATGCAGAATTACTTGGGGTTAGTCCTGTGTTCTGTCCTACCAGCTGCTTCCAAAGCTGAAACTGTTCCTGGGGTTTTCAGTGAAGCCTGGAATCACTGCCCAGCATTTGCCATAGACACACATAACAAAAATTGCCAAGACTTGATGTGTTTCCTTGTTTTGCTGTTTGGATTTTTGGGTGTTTTTCTCCCATAGCCCTCAGAAGTTTTTTAT